AAGTTTTATGAAGGTCTCTATGCTTGAAATGGGGGAAATTCTGAAATTAGTTCTTGACTTTGGTTTTTTCCAATGTTTAATGTGGCTCAGTTATGCAAATGATTAATTAGGCTACACTGGTTAAAGTTTTGACTTTGTCCCTCGTAGAGTTTGCATTGAAATGCTTTATGAAATAAAAAGGTTCTACTAGAACTGATGTTAGCACATTCCACTGAGCAAAACTGACACTTGTTAAATTGCTTACTGGACTGAATAAACTCTGGTTTGTCCAGTTAAAAGGGTATTCTCTTTGTTAAGTTTTATTTGTAAAGTCCTGTCACATTCATGGTTCTAAACTGGGTTGAAAGAATTGAAAATTGTCCAATAGATAGAGCGCCTGGAGTGGAGGATTATATGTAAGCTTCCACCATCAGTCATTTTAATCAAGGGGCCAGACAGGAGAGGAAAAGAAGTCCACAAATAGGTTATCTAATTACTCTGTCAAAATGAGTCCAAAGCAAAAACAATAGTACCCTCCGACAGTCTCTTATAAATATCCCCTTCAGCTACTAAATGAATATTGGACTCATTTCCCCAGGGGGGGAGTGAAGGTATATATCAAATATAATCTACCTTAAAATTAGTACTAAGGATCACATTTCATGAGAACTCTGTTGGAATATAGCTCTTTAACATTTTATTAAGCCGTTTGTGTAGCCCACCACGTTTCTTTGTGGTGTTTGTCCTGTGTGGAAGATTGTAAATCTTGGACCTGTTGCATATTTCCAAGGGCTTTTATAAAGCAATGTGATTAACAGTACTTGGCCTGCTGCTTTTGGCTTACTATGTATTTCTGCTAGATGCTATCACATTTAGAGGATGTAGATTCTGTCTGAGATGCAGTTAGTGTCCTTTCAGGATCTTTCCTTCCATTACCCTGTGAATAAAAACAAATGGGACCCCCGGAGGACACCCTAAAGCTAGCACCTCACCAACCCAGTGTTGTGGCTTTGTAGCACATCCTGTATTTACCATATTCTAGAACACTGTAATGCTACTAGGCTGGCCCAGAAAAGGTTTAAATGTTGAATTCACTTAAATTGCATTTGTTTGCACCATCATGGAATCTTGATGTGTATTATTTATGGTTGCAGTAGATTACAAGATATAGATAAAACTTGGGTCTTAGATAATGGCCCATTTCATCCTCAGACTTGTAGGAGTACACTTCTTGGTTTTGAGACCAGTATTTTTCAGTTATGTATGCAACTGCCTTTATTACACCTGGTTATCACAATTCAACTCTCAGGTGTTGCAGAAAATCTACCTCTTTCAGACTGTAGATGGAAATAACTGTGAAAAAATGATGCATATATCTTCTAGTTTGTGCTAAACACACTGCTTTATTTTTACAGCCCACGTCTTTCATGAGGATACGAATTGTTAAGAGGCAGTCTTGTTTTGCTTTTCAAAGACATTTTGTAGAGATTTTTCACTAATGTGAATCTGATTTTATCTACTTGATTCTGTATAGATTAAGTAAATATGTATGATAAACTTAACAGCTTCTGTGTATTCTTTTACTACCCATGTGGCCATAATTGTAAGAAATAGATATATGTACACACTGCCCAACCCCTTCCAAAAGAATAAAGCAAATTTTATTTTAAAACTTTATTTTTGCAAAGCCAATCAACAAGTGTTGGAAGGAAAAAGTGTAAAAGTTATTCTTGCATATCTGGGAAGAGCAAGCATTTAGTTTGAGAAAACAAGGACTTAAAATAGTTCAATCAAAAGCAGTACCCTGCTACTTGTATTTTAAAACAATGGCGATGTTCTTTCTTAAGCAACAATCTTTTTTTTTTTCCCCTAATAACTACAATATGATACAGTACGCAACAGCTCGTTTGAAAGTGCTAGAATCAGAGAGTAAAGAACGCTGTAAGCCATCCCACTTAACATTGCCTACTATACAATGCCTTTTTGGCGCTTGAGAAATCAAGCATTCATGTAGCATTACATTCAACAGAAACACCTTTTGTACTTTCGGTTTAAGATCCTTGTCCCTCCAGTTCCGATGGTGTGACATCTGACTCTTCATCATTGTAAATATTTTCAGCCTGGAGATAAGCAAATATATTCACAGGTAAATATATGACCATCTAAAAACAGAATTTAATGTCTATCCAGAATTTTATAAGTTATCCTTTTTAAAAAACAATTCCCCCTAAAATCTTTAATAAGGAAAGGTAGGCCAGTATTCTCAAATTACTTGGTGTGTGTGATTCCACAAATACACCTAACTGGTCATACATAATTTCAATCATTGTTCATTAGAGGTTTTTTCCCTAAAAGCATTTCAAGCATCATGTAGAGGGATCTATAGCCCAGATGTTTATGAAAGGCTTGGTTAACAACGTGAAAATGTCAAGTACTTAACACTCACAATCAAAGAACTTGGTATCATTTCAATATCTCAAAACTTCCTT